TAAATGACTGGCTAGGGTCTCACCAATTTCTTGATTGTTACTGATTACATTATCATTTGATTGATATCGTATTGAAATTGCCAGGTCTATCTTTATAAAAATGAAAAAATTATTTATCATCTACGAACTAGAATGTTAAAATGCTATGTATTAAGTACTTTGCTTTACGGTGTTGAGGCATGGACTCTTAAACAGAGGAATATTAAAAATCTTGAAAGGTTTAAGATGTGGTGCTACCGCCGTATACTAAGAATAAGTTGGGTGGATAAAATTACAAACGAAGAGGTAATACGCAGAATAAATAATAACGATTCAGAAGTTATCATGAATATAAAAAAGACAAAACTTGAATACTTAGACCACCTGATTAGAGGACAAAAGTACACATTATTACAAAATATAAAGCAACTCAGTTGCTTTCATAAAGTTCTCGTAGACACACCTGTCTCAGGACTATCAACTTCACGTGGATATGTCCCATGTTCCCAAACATGTACATGTCACCATGTTACCAAATCTACCGGTAACTTTAACATTATAATAATTAATAACACATAATGTAAACTAAATTTAAACACACAATTTTTAACGGGTTTTTACCCACATATTTAGTGGCTGCATACATGTATACCTAGACACTGATGATGATGGAATATGGATTCCGAAAACGTTTTGTGATATAGCCCGATTGGGATTTTAAATTATATACCTTTTATAAAGGATTTTTAATAAAAATTGTTTGATATATGGTATACAGCCAACTACAGGAACTTCGATTCCTTGTGGAAATGTTGAATAATCATAATTTTAAGAAGTTACCATTGAAAACGCCGAGATTGTGTTTTCCTAATGTGTATTTGCCTCTTTTTAGTGGATTTCCTTTCAACTCCTTAATCTTCAAGTTGTATGACTTTATTAGCGTTTAAAAACTCGTCTCTCGGTTTACTTTAAATATGTTACGTACTGTTAAATTCCTCATCCATCTTCCCTTAACCTTTCTTAATCAAGTCACCACTTGATTTTCCACTTGGTAAACCTAATTTCCTCATTTAATCCTGAAGCACTACTGCCAAAAGTTCATCCTCTTCAAATCAAATTAGAAGCTATGAAACTTTTATAAAAACTTAAAATTTTCGCACTTTTTATCAATCAAATCATATTTTTTAGTACTTTGTATTTATTAACAAAATATGCAACTCACATTAATTTTATTATTGAGTAGTTCGTAATTCACATAGAAAATCGTTTAAACAAACAAAAAAAATTCATGTTCCATTTCACACTAACGCACTTATGAGTAAAGACACTTTATAAATTCAATTTTGGGACACTTTGTAGTATTAATTATCTCAAAAATTGTAAATTCATTTCATCTTTCTCCCTTTCTTTCTATTCTTTTTTTTTTAATTGATTCCACTGAAATCTATACACGTGTCCGAAGCGCTAACTTCTTTTTCCGCGAATTTTCACAAGGATCAAATTGTGTTATTCGATTTGCTTTAATGTAGCGTACTATGTTTTCATCTCCATATACTGTCTGTAGTTCATCATTGTGTCTTCTCCATTCTTTATCTTTCTTTCCAGTATCAGTAAATTTGTCGTTTCCCGCTGGTTCAGAGTCCATGTCTCGCTTCCATACGTTATTGTGGGACGAATTATTGTCTTATACGCTCATATTTTTGATGGTATTGAGAGTATTTTTGATTTAAGTGCGCTCATTAAAAAGTAATATGCCCTGTTTCCTGCAATGATCCTAACTGCTACATCCTTTTCATATTTATTTTCAGATGTTATGATCGCTCCCAGGTACTTGAATTCTTTGACGACATCAAAGTTGTATTCATTGATTGTTACGTTTTGTCTAATCCTTGGCCTTGGGTTCTTCGTGACCACCATGTACTTGTCCTCCTTGACCTTCAGACCAACTTCCTTGTCTCCGTTTTCGAATTGAGTGAAGACTTCTTTTGCATCTCTGGTGGATTGTGCAAATGTTTCCATGTCCTCGGCAAACGCCAATAGTATTTTCATCCTTGGGCGACAAATCCGTTTGTCAGTTGTGATTGAGCTTTCCTTACCGCATGTTCCAGTGCAAAATTAAATAACAGGGGGGCGAGAGGATCTCCTTGCCTAAGACCGGTGCCAATGAGGAGTTCCTCTGACGTGGTGGTGCTAATTCTGATCCGTGCGGAAGCGTTCTCTGTGCTTACCTGTGCTAATCGTACCAGCTTTCTAGGTACTCCCATTTCTACCATGGTCTCCCACAATGCTTCTCTCCTAACAGAATCGTAAACTTGTGTAAAGTCCACGAAGATTTGGTTTACATTGTGATTAAATTCCCAGTTTTTTTTTCCAGCACGTGGCGTAGAATATCTGGTCTATGGTTGACCTTCCCGGCCTGAATCCGCTTTGGTAGTCGCCTATTATTTCTTCTGAGTATGGAGTTAATCTTTTAGATAGCATTATGGACATAATTTTATACATTGTATTGATTAACGATATTCCTCTATAGTTCCGACATATTTGTTTGTCTCTCTTCTTGTGGATAGGTACTATATGGCTTTCATGCCAGTTTTTCGGTATATTCAATGGTAGGATAGTGCAAACACTCCTGACCAGGGAGCTACGTGAAGGCGCAGTCAAAATTCACGTAAAGGCAGAAAGGTTCTATTGTAAACCAAACTTCGTCTACTGCGCCGTGGTCAGGAGTGTTTGCACTATCTCTACTTCTGATACTTGTATGTTGTACAGTAGATGTGTCGCATGTAATACTCGTACTCTGTTACAGGAGTTTTTTACAAGTCTATGAAACTTTTATTGTATTCTAATAATTTCTCAGCTGTTGACTTACCGGGTCGCATCGCTACAGGATCTTCTGTTTCTGAATCTTTTTTTTACTTACGGAATATAGTCGGGAAAATCGGATACTATTCATTATTTATTTATTCACCCTTTATTTTTGATAGTTTAAGTCGATTCATTAGTTAATTTTACGTTTTGTTCGTTTATAAATACATTTTTTACTGTCAGTCCTGCCTGTTTATATTATTTTACATTTTATTTAATGCATTTCCATAGCTATGTATAAAAATACATTTAAAGACATTCATAAATGTTGTAAATAAAAGGATGAAATGATAATATTTGTATATTGTATTGCATCTATGTACACAATGTCCAGTGCATGAGAAGCCATTTTTAATTCTTTTTGTGTTCACTAAAAGAATGATTAAGTGGAAGTTAGGTTAGTCATCACTAGTATTTTTATTCAGTACCTAATTAAGAAAGAATAAATTGACCGAATGATCGAAGACTTTGTAATACGATAATAAAGCATTAATTTTAAACGCAAGATTAATTTTGCTGAAAAGAAAAAGAGATATGTATTATCGAATGTCAATAATACGAGAACTATCAATTTTCCTGAATGGATCTTTTGAAAATATTAAGATCATGATTTTGTCCATTGTCAGGTCAGAAGGCGTTTTAACCAATAGGTTTTATATTTTTTTAGAGCATCGGGGAAATTTTTGACAGGCCACAACTATAAAAATGGACAAATAGAAAAAATGGAAGAAAATTTCAAAAACATCGAAATAAAAAAGGTAAAAAAGTGGGTATAAAGCTCAAACAAGTCTATGTAAAGATTAAAGTGGGCAAATGATCAGTGACCAACAAAAAGTCACAGAAACCTGGAAGGATTATTTTCAGACCCTGCTTGGTACACATATAGACATGGAAGATGAAATGGGTACGAACTAGGTAAAGAGAATGGAGTAGAAGCTAAAACCATAGAGGAAGTTCTCGAAGCTATTAAGACCCAAAAGAAAAACAATTGCCTCGGGAGTTGATGAAATACTACACAGGAAACATACGCAGAGTTAAAAACGCAAACAAAAATGCCAGGTCTGGCAATTAACACAGAAAAAACACAAATAATGTTACAGGCGAGAAGAAATATAGTCCCACAAAACATTACACATGAAGATGACATTGAAACGGTTGGAAAGTTTACATACCTGGGAGTAGAAATATATGCCGACGGATCAGAAGATGGAGAAATGCCGAAGAGAATAACGCAGGCAAACAGAGCTTATTTTGCCCTCTCCCATATATTTTGGTCTAAAAATGTCCACCGTAATACAAAGATGAGAATCTATAAAACCTTAATTCGACCAATAGCACGCTATGGCAGTGACGCATGGGCCTTGAAAGAAACATCCAAAAGCAAACTCGAGACATTCGAAAGGAAAGTACTAAGGAGAATACTAGGACCTGTGAGTGAAAACGGAATCATCAGAAGTCGATACAACAACGAGCTCTTTATCACCTTTATAAGGAAGCACCACTGTCAGACTTCATTAGAATACAAATATTGCAATGGGCCGGACATATGATAAGAATGGGAGAGGATAGGCTACCAAAAAGAGCACTGAATGCTAGAACGCAGGGAAAGAGACCGGTTGGAAAACCAATAAAGCGCTAGAAAGACACAGCGACGCAGTTTATGGAGAAGATCAGCCACAGACAAGCTAGGATAGAAATGTCCCGTTTTGTATTAAACGCGCACACTTGACGTAACACTTGTCATGATAAAATTTCTTTATCTCCAGGTGATCAATTCATTGAATAAACATAATAAACCATCAGGTATTGCTGATGAGCCCAACTCATGAATCTCGTCAGATCGTTCAATTGATTTTCGTTCATTTTGGAATCAATGATTTTCTGCTTCTGAAACGATAGAAAAAGTCGTTGATCAGTTAAAAATAACTCAAATGGAAAAATTACTATAATCAATCATTAATATGGACTAAAATGTACGAATAATCGCGTCTTTTTACTCAAAAAATAAATTTGCACTCTGATTCGCTTATTAGATATACATTATTCTTTTTAAGTAACTAACCTATGTTCTGCTTCGTATCTGTGCATTGTCGATCGTGTATATTCGTTAATAAAATTAAGTTTTATTACTTTACCAATCAGTTATGATTTTATAGCTCCCTCCGGTCCACCTGTTGGCTTCGTGGGATCGGCTAGGAGCTCTTCAGAGATAATAACCCAGTGGCAACCGCCGTTGGAAGAACACCGAAACGGTCAAATTCTTGGATACATTATACGATACAGGCTGTACGGGTACAAAGAAAGTCCTTGGACTATCAGGAATATTACAAATGAGGTAAGTGGGAATTTTCGCACATTTTTATATAGGAATTTTGAGATATTTAAGGTAGCAAAAAGACGTTTAACAACCAAGGAGCAGTTTAACAGGAACCTATATTTTCCAAGTGGTTGTTTTCTATTTTCCTAAGTTGGAAAACACATTTTAACTATCCTTACATTAAAAAATCAAGGCGAGTAATAGATTATGCGAATAGACATTTCAAAACACGCAAACTCAGTAAAAATTAATCTTTTATACTACGCCACTGACTCGCGTTGTAAAGCAGCAGCTATAGTTTTGCCCAGATATATTACGCATCGTTTTGTCGATGACTAACCACAATTTCAATTTAAATTACGTTTATCATAATAATCCTAGTTGATGTCGGTGACGTAAGTGAGCATTTCGAACAACAAGGAACATAACATATATGTATATATATATATATATATATATATATATATATATATATATATATATATATCTACACTACGATTAAGCAAGATGATACGAGCTTTTGGAAGGCCACGCTAAGTGGAAACTAGCCTGTCTCATATTCTCACTAAAGATCCGGAACTACAGGTATAGATAGTTCAAGCACTCTTGACCATGGAGCTGCGCGAAGATGGAGCCCAATTCAGGTAATGGCAGAAAGGTTCTATTGTAAGTGGAATTATACAGTGCGTAGTACAATACGTTTCGCACGGAAGTGGGGACTAAGCCAAATTTCGTCTACTGCGCCGTGGTCAAGAGTGCTTGCACGCACTATACCTCTTTGATAGAAGCTCCCTAGGATCATATCTACCAGTACTGAAGACCATTTCAATGCAGGTTTGGATCCCAGAGGAAGAGAAGACGATGTCTGGTACACAGATTGGATTAAATTTTTTCACGAATTTTCTTGTGGATATTAAATATGACATTCTTTTTTTCTAATTCTTCCATTTCAGAACCTCACATTTTTGTTTTATTTCTCTTTGTTTTCTTCTGTAATCTTATGCTTTGTATTACTAATATTATTTATTAATTGAAATACCAATGATTTTGATACCTCTTTCGTTGTGTGATGCAAGCTGAAATATCTTTTAAATGTTAAACAAAAGTGGAGATAATGCAACTCTGTCACTCTCTTAAGGTCTGATTTTTGATTCCACTATAGTTAGATCATCCTCAGGTATTTGTCATCGAACCTAATTTCGTTTAAAGTTGATACCTTACATTGTCAAATACTTTTTGGTAATCAATGAAGAGCTTCTTTCTTTGATCATAACATTTAGAACCAGCAGCTTTCTGAATCCAAATTGATCATCATCATCATCCAGCCTCAAGAGTTCACTGCTGAATATAGGCCTCTTCCTCGTGTTTCCAACCCCGTCTACCTTGCGCCGCTCTCATCCAGTTTTTATTGAGTCTCTTCAAATCGTCAGTCCATATTGTAGGTGGTCGACCGACGCTTCTCTTGTCTTCCCTTGGCCTCCATTCTAATAACCTCTTTGTCCATCGTCGCCCATCTGTCATTCTGGCTATGTGTCCTGCCCATCTCCATTTTAGTCTGGCTATCTTCTCGATGATGTCAGTCACTCCGGTTCTTCTCCTGATGTCTTCGTTGGTTATTCTGTCTCGCAGAGTTATTCCTAACATGGATCGCTCCATTCTTCTCTGCGTGACTCTCAGTTTGGTAGCTGCGGCTTTTGTTAAGGTAAGTGTTTCTGCTTCATACGTCAAGACTGGGAGGACGCACTGATCAAATATCTTTCTCTTTAGGCATATGGGCAACACATTTTTAAAAGTTTCTCTCAGTTTTCCAAAGGCTGCCCACCCAAGGCCGATTCTTCTCTTCAGTTCATGAGTCTGGTTATCCCTGCCAATCATAATTTCATGTCCCAGGTATTTATATCTATCTACGAGTTCTATTTCTTTCCCACCAATACTGATGTTCTGGTTGGGTACCAAATTGGTCATGATTTTTGTTTTCGAGATATTTATATTTAAACCTACATTTTCTGTAGCCACAACGAGTTCCTGTACCATCTCTCTTGCCATACCTAGATCTTCAGCTATTATAAGTATATCATCGGCGAAACGTAAGTTGTTTAGATATTCTCCATCTATTTTTATTCCCTTTGTCATCCAATCCAAATTCTTAACAGCATGTTCTAGCACCGTATTAAAAAGTTTAGGTGACATTGGGTCTCCTTGTCTAAGCCCCCGTTCTATTTTTATACGATTACTGTTAGTATGTAATCTGACAGTGGTTGTTGCCTGCAGGTATATTTTTTATAATAATTTAGTATATCTATAATCTAGCCAGCCTGCATTCTTTAAGCGCCTGTAATATTTTGCTTAGCTCAACTGTGTCAAAGGCTTTGTGAAAATCGATAAATATTAGAACTAGAGGTTTATTGTATTCCACTGCTTTCTCTATTAGGGTTTTTATACTTATTGATAGACGTTCTTATTCAAATTTTGTTTTAGATGCGCTTATATCTTTAGGAATTCCTTTAATGCGTGGCTCATTAAACCTATTAGCCGGCGGTTTTCGTAACTACTGGCATTATGTTTCTTTGGTATTGCAACGAAGGTTGATTTTCGCCAATCTGCTGATATTTTCCCATTTTGTATGTGTACTTAAACAGTTTGCATAATCGTTTAGGCATCCAGAGAACAAAAATTTACGTCTAAATCTATTTCAACCACCTTATGATTTTTTTCTGCTTCTGATTCTAATATTGTTGGTCCTGTTAAGTCTGTTTCCGTCATAAGCGAATAGTAATTAGAACAAAACTTTTTTTAATTAACTCCTATTTTGTTATTTATTTTTTAGGCCCAGCGAAACTATCTCATCACTGATTTAATAACCTGGAAAGACTACGTAGTACAAATCGCAGCTTACAACAACAAAGGTGTTGGAGTTTTCACGGACGGAGCCAAAATCAAAACCAAAGAAGGTAAAATGACTTTTAAAGATTTATATCGATTCATTTAATTTTCAATGTAATTTGTTGTAGGAGTACCTGAAGCGCCCCCTATAATAAAGAAAGTTAAAGCTTTGAATTCGACGTCTATACAAATATGGTGGACGCCTCCGGATCCACAGAAGATAAACGGCATAAACCAGGGCTACAAAATCCAATCGTGGCAGTGGCATCCAACCAGAGGCAACATCGAAACGAACATGATGACTGTACATCCAAATCTTCTAGATCCATATGCCGAACAAACAGCTGTTATGACTCATCTCGAAAAGTTCAAAGCTTACAATATCACTGTACTTTGTTTTACTGATCCTGGTGATGGACAGATGAGCGAGATGCATCACGTAAAAACCAAAGAAGACGGTAAACTATAACACATACTTTTCTTTCTTACATAAAAATTACGAGTATCTATTAATTCCTTTTATGTATCGTTCTAAATTGTAGTAACTGATACGGATATTTTAAACAATAGAATAGTAATTTATTAAATTATAAGTAAAAATTGTTTATTGTATTTTCTTTTCAGTTCCAAATGAAGTTTCCAACTTACAATTCGACGAAATCAGCGACAGAGCGGTCAAAGTGCTGTGGAAACCCCCTAAAAAGATTAACGGTATTCTAAAAGGTTACCAGCTAACATACCAAATAAAAGACGAACCTAGCACACTTCGCGTCAAAAATTTGACAGCTGACACTTTGAGCATAAAGGTCAATGATCTTCAAGCCACTACACATTATCGTTTTGAAGTAACAGCTTGGACGGCCGTTGGACCAGGTCCATCTAAGATAGCGATCATACAGTCCGGTGTGGAACCTGTACTGCCACATCCGCCTTCTAAGCTAGCTTTGTCCAACATCGAAGCGTTTTCTGTGGTATTACAATTTACTCCAGGTTTCGATGGGAATTCTTCGATCACGAAATGGACCGTAGAAGCCCAAACGTCAAGAAATGCCTCTTGGTTTGTTGTCTATGAAATTTCTGATCCGGATGCGACTACCATCGCTGTAACAGGTCTTGTACCTTTTACAGTTTATAAATTAAGACTGATCGCGAATAATGTTGTCGGAGCTTCCATACCAAGTGAGTCTACTAAGGAATTTCAAACTATTCAGGCCCCACCGGCATTTCCTCCGAGAAATGTCACAGTTAGAGCAATGAGTGCCACAGAATTGAGAGTTAGATGGATCGTAAGTATTTTTTTGTTGTTATTGTTGTTTGGTTAACACTCTCTTTTAATTTACAGCCTCTACAGCAAATAGAATGGTTTGGAAATCCAAGAGGTTACAATATTACATATACGGAAATTCGTACTGGGTTTGCTCACAGCTCCAATATCGAAGATCATACAGCAAATTCACATGTAATTATCGGATTGGAGGAGTATGCTTTGTATGAAGTAAAGATGCAAGCTTGCAATGACGTAGGATGTTCACCATCAGGACCTACAGCTCTTGAAAGAACCAGAGAAGATGGTAGGCAGTTCGTGGTATAAATAATGCTTGTTGTAATTAACTTTATTTTTTCTTTATAGTTCCTTCTTTTGGTCCCATGAACGTAGAAGCTAATGCCACATCTTCGACAACCATAGTGGTAAGATGGGGTGACGTCCCGAAGGAACACCAAAATGGTCTTATAGAAGGCTTCAAAGTGTTTTATGCTGCTGAAAATAAGGCTCCCGTACATCACAAACAAATAGCGAGCAATTCAACATTTACTGCCACACTTACCGAACTGAAGAAATTTGTGGTATATCACATTCAAGTTCTGGCGTACACGAGGTTGGGAGATGGTGAGCCCAGTGCACCTGCTGTTCGAGTTAGAACATATGAAGATGGTAAGTTCTGTTTCCAACTATTTTCTGAACTAAGGTATTAAGCGCGTGATAAATTATTGTACATTGGCAATTACAAGCCATAATATCAATAAAAAATTGTTTAGCTCTCACGAAAAAATCAAATTTTTTGGCCAAAGACATCATAAACGTATATCTGAGCCATTGTACAAGTATAATTGTTGAGTTGAAACTACCAGACCCGATATCTTTTGATAATCTACATCGAATATTATGTTTTCTTACAGTTCCGGGAGCTCCATCAAACGTTTCCTTTCCAGACGTGTCGTTAAGTTCAGCTCGTATAATTTGGGACGTTCCTGAAGAACCGAACGGCGAAATTGTAGCCTACAAAGTAACTTACCATCTGGACAACGTAAAAACCAACAATAAGTTCTCAAAGGAGTTTCCACCTTCTGAGAGAACTTTCAGATTTACTCAGTTAGAGCCGGAGAAATACTACTTGTTCTCGGTGACAGCTCAAACTAGACTCGGTTGGGGAAAGACGGCGCATGCCTCGGTTTATACGACAAATAACCGAGATATACCACAACCTCCTTCTATGCCACAGATCAGTAAGAGCCAGATCCAAAGCCATCACATCACTTTCAGTTGGACATCAGGTATGTAACAAAGTATTCAAAAGATTTTATAATTCTTTTCATTCCTGTTTTTATAATCACTAACGTATTAATAACTTTAGGTCGGGATGGTTTTGGCCCTCTCAGATACTATACTGTCCAGAAAATGGAGAATTTAGGCCCATGGCAATCGTTACCTGAAAGAGTTGATCCTCAACTTAATTCCTATACAGTCTCTGGTTTAAAACCGTTTACATTGTATCGGTTTCGAATAAGAGCAACGAACGATATCGGACCGAGTCAGTTCAGTCCAGAATCGATAGAAGTCCGCACTTATCCAGCGGCTCCAAGCAAAGGTAAGTAAATATGTCATTATTATACAATATCCTGCTACGACACTACACACTTTTGCTAACCTACTAGTAATTTGACTTGTTTTACAGTTATTCGTATGTTTACATCCAGATTCTTATTATGCTGCTATTTCCGTTTGATTTTTTCTAGAATTATCTATTATACGAGTGTTTGTACATGTTTTTATTCAGATGTTTTCTATCCGCTGACATTGTTTTTAATATTTTTTCATTAGTGACTCAGTATATGGTATTTCTTTTATTACAACTCAAATACTTTCAGATCTTTTATGCATACTTTCGATTACTGCTTTTATTTCGTGGGGAAGAATTGAACATATGAATTTTGGATTTGACAGCTCTGGCGCCACCATATATCCGTCGTGTGGCATTTGCCAATTCTTTTTTTTTTATATTTGTTATTAATTCTGTGTCATTTGTCGTCTGTTATAGCTCGTGCTATTAGTTGTAGAGGTAATGGATTTTGGGAACAGCTATGACCTTGAACATTTCACATAAACTTGTGTACTAAATAGGCATAATGCATAGCTCTTGTTAAAATCCAATACATTAATAATATAATTACATATCTTCGATTCTAAAATATTGTAAGACTTTAAAGAGTCTGGGTAAGAAAAAAGATTTAGTTATATTCTTTGTGGCATTTTCAAGGTCATAGCTGTTCCCAAAATCCATTAACTCTAAATACAAACTATAAATCTGCCATGTGTCATTTGTCATTTTATCTGTCATGAGTTCTATGTCATTTGTCAATTCGTTAGTATAGTCCGATATGAAGAAGAAAGATAGGAAGGCCTCGAATATCGTTTAGAGATGAAGTAGCAATTGAAAGAAGAACCCTGCGAGATGTAGATTGGTAACATAGAAAGAGCTGGATATTACGGTTTAGAGAAATCCTGGAAATCCTTGTAGTTGTAGTTTACTTGTATGTTTAAAAATCAATGACAAGGGAGCCTAAGTATGTTGCTGTGATAAAATATTAACAGTTTTGCCTTGTTTTTTAGGAGTTAGTGGTTTAAAGGTAATCCCCATCACTACCACTAGCGTTGAGGTATTCTGGGAAGCCATAGATGAGCAGTACTGGTGCGGTGATAGTAAAAGTGGTGGGTACCGAGTTGTATTTCAACCTGTCTCCGATTTTCCAACTGCTCTTCAAGCAACGCCTAAAGAAGAAGTTATGGGTATCAATGTAAGTAATGAAATAATATCAGTATATGTAAAAATAATGTAAATATATAGAAATGATATAGCAAATCAAGTAATAAACAAAACTATTTGGACAAAGTGAGAAATTCTTAACGAAGGAATAGAAAAATTTAGCATTTATTCAATAACTTAATATAAAATAGCAAATTGATCGCTAATAATATCACTTCATTTATACCAATATGTATTCCAGGCACAAATTTGACAAGAATTGAAAGACTGATGAAGCCAAATCTGGTTAATAGTAAAGCTGCTCCTAGAATCTATATTTCAAATCACCAAATTTTTCAATTGGGTTAATAAACATTATAAAAATCTCAATTTCAGGCTAACAAAATGGTCCTCACCGAACTTCTTCAAGACAGAAACTACGAGATCGTCGTCATTCCATTTAATGCGCAAGGAGAAGGTCCTATCAGTCCGCCGGTGACTGTGTATGTGGGCGAGGCGGTACCAACTGGGGAACCACGAGGTCTTCAAGGAGAACCGGTGTCTTCTACCGAAGTTAGACTTAGGTGGAAACCACCACAACACCAGATGCAGAATGGAGAACTTCTAGGATATAAAGTAAGTTGTCTATTTACATCAATATATTGTACTTAGCATCGGAAATAACAACAAAAAGTATTATAAAAATATAAAACGGATTACAGAATAATATGAAATATATTTAAATAAATATAAATACCAATATTTATGCTGTCAAACCATGAAAAAATAAAAAACATTACAAAAAGGCATAATTTGTTCAAATTGTAAAAAGAACTTCCTCGAATTTTCGTACTAATTAGAATTTAATATACATTTACAATGTTGCCACATTTACAATTGGTTTTTACGGATTGAAAATGTAAAAAAAATATATTTGAAATAATAAATAAGAATTTGAAATAATTCTCAAGTTCTTAACATTCCTTGGTGACTAAACCATAACTTGGCCAAAACTAACTCAATGTAATCGAAACTAATATAAACCCAATTAATGAAAGACCAGATAAAAACAAAATATTTATTTTTATTTATATTTTTACACAATTTTGCAAAAAACAATACTTTTTGTAAGTATGGCAACATTGGTTGAAAAGTGACATGACATTTAAGACAGCACAATGGATAGATGATATATTTGAAAATTGATGTCAAAACAGAAATTTTTTAAATGAGAAGAAAATGTAATTTCCTAGTAAGACCATCCTTCCTTAGCTTTACATTTTATTTGAGCTTTTCGTAGAAAATTCTTTTTCTCGGAGTACCAGGTTTCTCTGAACCTGTTGCTTTTACGCTTATAAGTATGTTACATACTTATACATTATATACAATAATTTTACTAATTTAAAATTGTGTTATTCTGTTTTTTACTATATTTGTTTTTGTTTTATACTTTTTGTACTATTTGACTGATTTATTTTTTAGCTTTGTCCATAAAATTGTTCAATAATTTTCAGTGACAATAAAGCATATTTCTATTCTATTCTATGTTAGTGACTTGACTTAAGAATTATGGGCTTAGAGTGATGCTGGATTTAATTCGGTCGACAGAACATTATTTATCAAATGGGAATTACCATGGAAAAGTGAGTTTGTCAGAAACGTAGAACACTTTGTACGACGTATGTCTATTCCATTAAACTGCTGTGAAAAAAAAACAATATCGAAATTATCAAGAAAAAACCTTGTCCACAAGCTTAAATGTAGAAACCTACCCTGTTCGCTACTTAACTTCTGCCAAGCTTTTGACTACCTCATTGGAGTCATCTCAACAACAATAAGTTTTCTTGGTTTTATTAATAGATTTTTGTAGTATTCTATAGAACTTTTCTTTTTCTTCTTTTGTCTCTGAGGTAACCAGAAAATTTCAAGGCTTCCTCTTTTTATGTATTTCTTTTTCCATTTTCAGAGCTTTATTTTGTTTTATTGAATCATAAATAAATTTTTTACAGATATTTTATTTGGTCCTAAACTCACCGCAAAAATTGGACGAAGGCAAAAAATGGGAAGAAGAAATAGAAGTGGTACCAGCATCGACCACCACTCACAGCTTGGTATTCCTCGACAAATATACCGAATATAAAATTCAAGTATTGGCGTTTAATCCAGCTGGTGACGGGCCCAGATCTCAACCGGTTCGAGTAAAAACGTTGCAAGATTTGCCTAGTGCGCCGACGAATTTGACTTTTTCCGAAATTACGATGAACAGTTTGACCGTGTCGTGGGATCCACCTAGGAAGAGAAATGGTGATATCGTTAGTTATATCGTTACATATGAAACCACTGAAGAAAATGAACGTAAGTTTCCTTTAATTTCATTTTAATAAATGTATTTTTTCTTAAAAGTTTGATACACATCAATGATATTGTTATATCGACCACTACAAAAACTTGCTCAGAATTTTCCTAAGCTTACATTTTAAAATCTATACGAACTTTCAGAAGTATTCATATATTTTTTACTACAAAGCAAACTTCTTGAGCTTTCCTAACTTCCTACCCTTTTCTTCGTAATCTATTTTTTCCTCAATCCTTTTTTCTTCTTGTGTCTTTTGTTTTCTAACCCTTCTCCTGATTTCTCGAGCCTTTTTATACTTTTTTGCATATTCTAGATTTCGACATTTTTTATCCTCTTTTATCTTTTATTTTTTCTTATGCTTCTTTTCGCTTCCTACCACGTTCTTGATTTCACGTTTTCTAACCATTTTCCTGAGCTGTCTTGCTCCCTTAAGCATTTTTGCTAATTCCTAATTCCCAGATTCTTTTTTATCGTCCTTCCTTTATTTTCCATTTATTTCCCCTTCCTTTTGCTTCTTGTTTCTTCCAGTTTCTGTTTTCTAGAATTATTTTGTCTCTTCTAACTATGTAATTAGTTACTCATTAAAAATGGATTGGTTTCCTTTGTAGGTTTTAGCAAGCAGGTGAAGCAAAAAGTAACGACGACCTATCTCCAAGTTCCTAGCTTGGAGGAAGAAGTAACATACACGTTTAAAGTGAAAGCACAGACAATCGATTACGGTCCTCCTATCGCGAGCAACGTCACTACCGGACCACAAGAAGGTTCGCCTAGTACACCGAAGGAACTTAGCTTGGTGAAAACTTTAACTAGTATCGAGTTGAGGTGGTTCAATGGAGCCACAGGCAAGGGGCCTATATTGGGGTACTACATTGAATCCCGGAAAAAAGGTACGTAAAAGATATAATTGATTCTTATGATTACGATAGATAATAGACATAAATGACATATTCTTAACACATTTTTGTTATACAATCTTATGTAAAAACCATTTTACTTACCTCACACCTAAATACCATTAAAATAATGTATATTGAGTTAACATTTAACATTATTTTGTTTTTTTTTAGACGACATTAGGTGGCAAACAGTAGCAAAAACCACCAACGGTCCTCTACAAGAGTTCACCGTACTGTACCAGAGCCTGTTACCTTCGACTTCGTACAAATTTAGGGTAATCCCCTACAACAAATTCGGAATAAGCTACCCCGCATATTCCGATGAATCAGTCCTGACCCCTTCGAAGCTATATATGGAATACGGACTTCTGCAACTTACTCCGTTCTACAGACAGACCTGGTTCATGGTCGCTTTGGCAGCTATGTCCATTATCATAATCATCATGATAATAGCTATATTATGTGTGAAAAGCAAAAGTTATAAATACAAACGTAAGTATGATTACATTTTTAAGATAACGGGCTTTAAGTAATTGTAGATCCAGCTGTTGTTGTCCAGCTTTGCAGATTCCCCTTTTATATATATTCGATACTTGACATGTACCAAGAAATACTAATTATTGATCGAAGGATCTTGGAATTTGTGCTCTACGTCTTATTATTATTGGAGTCTCGTTAGTTCTTGTGAAAAATACCCTTTTAAAGTTTTCTCCGGTGACAAAACTTTACACATTTTTAAAGAATGCGATTTTATTTTTGTCTCACCTACATTCTAATATATACAAACTATTGAGTTAGGTTAGACCAGTATTTCCCAAAGTGGGGGTCGCCATGAGGTACTAGGGGGGTCGCCGAACATTTCCAAAATAAGACAAAATCACCACTTTGTTAGATCATGTATTTTTATTTTAACAACGCCGTAAATAGAAATGAACAATTAGTTATCAGACGAAATATAAAACTAAATATTAAAGTCCGTAAAAATAAAAGAGTAAAACAAAGTCAAATATTATAATCTTAATGAGAGCTATGCGCCTGTTTCTGTGAAACTAATCTTTCAAATCTAGGCTGTGTATTGAGACACACACAATTATATCAATTTTAAGTACGAGACGATTTCTAACTCTTGTTTTAATGGCAGTCATAGACGAGAAACTTAACTCACACAAATATGATGTTAGAAATGGAACCAAACATTTTACAGCTTCACTCGCCAACTGGGGGTATTCCTGCATCTTTTCGGTCCAAAATTGGTCCGAGTTCTGGGAAAAAAATTGGATCTTCAATATTCCATCACTTGATATTTCAATAAGTTTTTCTTTTATGTTTATTGGTATTTCAACATGCTGAAAAGAATCGGCTAAAAACGGATTTAGTATCCATCTGCAACTGTCGTAACTGTTTTGAATTTCTTCGGGGAAATAATCACAGAGCTGTTTTTTTTTAAATTGAGCAAAGTAACATGCATGTCAGCAAAAACTTGTTCAAAATTTGTAGCACTGTAATTGGATACATTTTCCATAATTTCCTGAAGGCACTGGAATGAATCGAGTTGTTTTTTGCCAAGTGAGGTCGACCATAAATCGATTTTTCTTAGAATCGCCTTAATTTTATCTGTGGCTGTAATTATATTAATGTCGCGACCTTGTAAATTACTGTTCAAAATATTTAATTGCTCGAAAAAATCAGCAACGAAACCTAGTTTCAAAAGCCAAATAGGATCGGAAAATTGATTTTCATATGGGGACTTCTCATCTTTCGAAATCATTAAAAGCTCTGCTCTTAAGTGAAATACTCTCTTAGACGTTGCCCCTTGAAAGTTACCTTACTTCGGTGTGATAGAGAAGATTTTCAAATAAAGCACCTATGTCTTCGCAAATTTTTCTAAAAATACGGGTCTGCAAAGCTTTTCCTTTAATGGAATTTACAACTGTAATGATGGTTTTCATAACACAGTCCATTTCAGGCGGTAAAGCTTTGGACGCAAGAGCTTCTCGATGTAAAAAACAATGTCTCCATTTGGCATTCGGCATTATTTCTTGTAATTTGACGACAAGACCAGATTTATGTCCTGTCATAGCTTTAGCGCCATCTGTGCATATAGCAACACATTTACCCCAGTCAATATCATATTTACTTGTACGTTTCACAAACGTGTCGAGTAAACATTTTCTAGTGGCATTGGTCTCCAATGGAGAACAAAATAAAATATCTTCTTGAATGTCATTATTTGTATCATATCTTACAAACGTAATGAATTGGGCACAGTTAGATATATCTGTGGATTCGTCCATTTGAAGAGAGAAGTACGTGCATTTATTAAGATTTTCCACAACTTGCGCTTGAATATCTTCTGCCATATCACTAATTCTTCTTTGGATAGTATTGTTTGACAGAGGTATTGTATTTAATTTTGCAGCATCTCTTTCCCCACACATTATATGTACCATTTCAACAGCTGCTGGAAAAATCAGATTTTCAGCAATTGTGTGCGGATTACTAGTTTTGGCAACAGGATAAGCAACTTTATAACTTGCTAATAGTGCTTTTTCATTAGTAGTGGTTGCCAAGGGAAAACTGTCTTGCTGTTTGTGAAGGACGTTCAGCTATCTTTCAAAGAATTCTACGGAAGGCTTGTCTTTTTTATCTGGATGTTTGCTATTTAAATGTCGAAGTAACTTTGATGGCTTCATGCTTTCTTTTGACAAGACTTGTCCACAAATAACATATTGTGGTTTATTGGAAATAACGGTAAAACCATATTTAAGATATTCATCAATGTAGAATCTGTTTTTCTTTTTATTGCTGCTACTGCCACTTTCAGACGTAGATGGTTCTGCACTTCTTTTTAAAAACTTATCCATAATTTATAATTTATTGTAGACGTAAATACGTAAACGGGAATACGTAAGTCGTAAAATATTTACTCATTACTCAACACCGCGTTCGCCATCATAGGCTATTTGGATTCGAACTGAGGTTTCGTTGCGCATCGCCGCTTATATAAAGCCAAAACGAGGCTACGAGAACGTTCCAGAGTGCCATCTAGTAGGGAGCGCTTTCGCTGTTATCATGGAAGAGTTTTGCGATGTAGACACAAGCTAATATGTCGCGGTGTACAATGTGCAGTCGACTTCTTATATTTATTAATGTAAATGCTATTCTGGCAAAAGTACCTACTACTAATTACTAGTGGGACAGATCGCAATCATTAAAATAATTGTATTAACATAAAATAATTGTTTTTGATTTAAACTTAAACAGTAAAGTAAAATTAAATTTGAGAAACCATCAGATAATTGTAAATTGGGCACGCTATTTCTGTCAAATAATATTGAATAAATGAGTGGGGGGAAATTGGGGGGTCGCGATCAAATCTTTTAGCAAAAAGGGGTCGCGGTTTAGATAAGTTTGGGAAACTCTGGGTTAGACCACCTAACTGACTCGACAAACCTAAAAATATAATTATTGTTCCCATCGAACGCAAATGTTTAATTTATATCCTTATGGGTCAGGGTCTGGTATATATGTTTTGTCGAGGTTTAATTATGTATATTGTGTGTTTTGTAGAAAGTGGCTTAACACAATTATTTCTAACAAGATAATAATGTAAAATTCCTTGTTCTCGGTAAGGGAGAGGCGCGTGCATACTTCACACTCATGCTCAATCAGAGATCGAAGCTTTTTTTCCTCACTACGTGTTAGTAGACACCATGTAAGATTGCAAGTCATTCCAGGGCTGCAGGCAACAGTTGACGATAAGTTGATGTTGAAAGAGTGATGTTGAAAATGAAAACATTCTAGTATCGTGCAGTGATTAAATTCCTTTTAAAAAATAGTTTTAACAACGACTGAAAAAGCTACTTGCAGTTTCTAAATCTATGAGGCGACTCTTTATCTTTAATTTTAACCGTGAAGAGATGGCTGATTGCGTTTAAACGTGATCTTGAAAATGTTTATTATGATCTAGGTAAAGAACGTCCAAAAGAAAAACAAACCGGAAATCATCGTAAAGTCCAAGACATGAAGTGAATTGGCAGATTGACTTTTAAAGGTCCAAGATATTGCTGGGGTAGTCTATTCATATCGTAGAAACTACTATGCTTATTGTGGATCAGAAATGCACAAGCAATAAACAATTATCCAATATTAAATGTAAATTAAATTTATTTAAATATTAATTTATACAGCACTTTGTTAACTTTGAACAATATTTGTAGAAGAAGCTCAAAAAACCCTAGAAGAATCCATGGCGATGTCGGTCGGCGATCACCAGGACCTGGCGCTGGACTACTATCGTTCCCGAAACGGTAACGCTAGCACCAACAGCCTGTCCAATCTCAATAAGAAGGGAACGTTGTCTCGGAAGCCCCCTTCCCATCAGCCGCCGCCGGTGGTAGGTAAATCTCCGCCGAGGCCGTCTCCGGCCTCTGTGCCCTACAACTCGGACGAAGAAAGCTTAAAGGGCTACGACGAGAACCCGGACGATAGTAGCGTCACCGAGAAACCTTCCGAAATGAGTTCCTCTGATTCTCAAGTAAGTATTTTGTTGACATACTTTATTTTTGGTTTTGGTTTTTATGATAGAGTATTCTACACTAAGTATTACTTTTTAATAAGAGAAATTGTATGTAAGTGCTTGAAATGAAACTTATTTTGTATGAATAATCTACAAGATTAAGAAAACCAAAGACCTATGCAGATAAAAAGCTTTTAACGTGACTTGGAGAAAGAAATATATGAGATAATATTAACTCTTATAAAAGCAAAGATTATCCGACATAGCGATCACCATAGTAGAAGGTTTCATAATCTCCTCTCATGTATATTGCTCAACCAAGATCTTTTTCCTGCGTATGAGATCGTTGCGTCTTCAATTCGACCAACAATAATGGCTCTTTTCACTGTCATCACAGGAAAAGAAGGTCTTGGAATGCAACATCCTATCTTTTCCTCGACATCTCTCATGGGCCTTTAACCGTCTGTGATGAAGGATCCTCTGCATTGATTCAATCTTTGGGTGCAATTTTTATTTTATTATTCTTTTATTGGCGAAGAAATTAAATACATTTTTACGTAAAAAAGTACAGCCAAGTGTCTAGGATGTATACAGGAGGACCAGAGCCACTTCAGAAGGCTTCCAGGGAGTGTTCAGTTGAAACCGCTCATATCGGACTTATAATTACATGTGATTTTCATCTGGTGGCACGTTTCATCTCATAAGAATATGAATTTATTGACTTCTCTAATAGTTTTGGTTTTCAAAATTCCTTATCTTGGAAATATAGACTTAAACTGAATGGATCATGTAAAACAGGATGTACCCTAAAAAAGTCGTACAGAAAATAAACGAAGTCTCCCCCGTTAAATGAAAAATCAAGAAAAACAATTACATCAAAAATTGATGCAATGAAAAAGGCAAATACGTAAGATTTCTTGTTTGCAAGCAAGACAGTAAATCTGTAAGAAGTAAAAACTAATAAAAAATGACGTTGTTATTGTATAGAGTTTCATTAAACAGGATAAATCTTTAAAAATTTATGTTTTGGTAATTATTACAAGTTTTAATACAGTAATTGTGTATTTTTTGTACATTATGATATCGTAGTAGTAACTATGCAGTTTTAGTTGGGTTATATCACTTTTTTCACTCTGTATATCATATAAATTTCCTAAGGATTTATTTAATCAAAACTTAAAGAATTGCGTCTTAAAATTTTAAACGAGAATGAGCATAATCTAAATGTTTATTTATATAGCCCGCTTAAGATCCAACGTTAAAGAAAATTGCGTTTGAATTAAATTTTTACCGCCGAAAGCGACCCGCGTGTCGTCTTCGGGAGATTCGTTGGAATGATCCTGGTACAATGCGATGCCTCACTTGTGAAAGATCATCGCTTTGCTGACCTCTGTGTTTCTTTGATAAAGTTTGTGCGTTTATTTTTAAGAAAGCTTTTATGAATTTCACCTCTTATGAACCTCTTTCACGATTTATGAGGATCATTAGGCTGATACTCATAAAGGTTCGAGGTATAATTACAGTATAGTGTAGTACAGACATCCCACAATAATGGGGGGGGATAATCGATGGACTAAGAAAATTATACATTGGGGATGTCTTTTGACATTCGGGACTCATATACAAAGTGTATACAAGTACGTACAGAGGAGACATACACATAAACTGGATTAAAAGTGCATAAGATCCCTGGGAAACATTTAAGAAAGGTTTGCACCCACCATTGGACAAATTTATCAGCTGAATGGTGATCTTAACCTATTCTGATCCAACCTAACCGAAGTTAACCTGATTTGATCTTCAGTATAAAGAGATTTACATACCTAATACTCAAAACACCTATATTTACACTCATATAAATTATTTAGGGGATCACTGTTACAACCAGCTGACAACACTGCCAGCTGTGTTTTTCCCTTTTATATAAAGATACCAAATAATTTTCGATTTTTCAAAATACACAAGGTTGCTTGTTTTAAACGACTTTTAAAAACAAACTAGTTTTTGTTTTGATTGAAATTTTGGCAGACCGTGTGCGTTGGATCTATTACGTCAAAATCGAGAGTAGTTCGCTCTCACGTATCACAAACCACTCTTGAATATCTATTAAAAATATTTATGCAAAATTAAAAACTCATTACCAATAATAGCTGCATAGTTACTATTATCTGCAACCTGTAACAAAATAAAGGTGGAAGATTTGCAAATTATTATATTCTAAAAAAACTATAACTCGCCAATCCTTTTCAGTGTACCCAAATTCAAGTGGAATGTGGTTTGTATCGAAAAGTTTAGTCAAAATTCCTAAATAAAAGTGTTAAAAGACGTAAAATCATTTTTGCACTATTTTTATTTTTAATTTTTCTCAGTAACTTCAATGTGAGGCCGACGATGTATTTGCGACAAAAATGCGCGTTTTTATCTCGACAATAAAAACACGATAATATCCATAATAATTTTGCTAGATAATCTACTCCATGGTGGCCAACAATTTTGGGAGAGAATGCCAGTATAAATTTTTACAAATAAGAATGTTTTTTAGGTTCTAAATATTAAGGTGTTGTACAAAAAGTAAGAATTTATGAAAATATAAACACATTTTGTGATATAAAGCCTGAATACTTGTCATTTACAAGACTTTATGTTTAGTTTTGTGCAATCTTAGATTGTAGCTGACGTAACAATCAAATGGTCTTGTCCTCTGGTTGTTGCCCATCCTCTATCACTTTCGTGTCTTATATTAACTCCTAGCTTCCTGAACCTAGCTCTAAATCCAATTTTTCACACTCTGAGAAACGTTGAACATTTAGATCATTAGTAGCATACTCTGGTAATTATTTTTCCTATAATTGCCATACTAGTTGGTGCGTTTTGGTTTGGTTTGAGTCTTCTTACAAGTCTCTCTGATGACGGGTAGACCCAGAAACACGTGTTAGAGAATGGTAAGAGACTCAACTTAGATCGAAACTCAACTGTCTACGTATATTAATTTAGATCATTCTTCATGAGTGCCTGCCTATTTTGCAAAAAGATACTGTGGCAGCTAAATTTTCTGTAGAAAAGCTTAATTTTCATTTTCTGTAGTTGGCAGTGGTCATTATACAACACTAGACACTAGATAATATCGCAATGTAATAATGCACTAGATTCTGTATGACCTTTAGCCATATAACCTTCATGCGATGAATTTGTATTTTTTTTGCGAAAGCTCTAATGCGGTACCACACTTCGCTATGTATTATGCGGCTTCGTTGCGACAGAAATCTCATTCCATTTTCATTTTTCCATTCCATTTCACAGTAGGTACTCCACAAATCAAAGAGTAAATATAGTTGTATATAAACACACAAATTTGTCGAATTGATGGTTCAAGAATAACTGAGCAACTAAGAGCAACTGTGAGACAACCACCGGTGCAAGCGAATTGTGGAAAGCTGGCACATACATTGGGCAAGCATTCGGCTTATTCGTGTTCTTTTAAGTGTGTCAAAAAACCGACAAATGGACGTATTATGTATATGTAGTGGACGTAGCGTATTTGCTATTCGGGTACTGGCTTATGCGTGCGAATAAACCAAATAATTGACGAATGGACCCTCCAAACCACGTCTTACGCTCATTGCTTACATTCGCGTTTTCTAGAGAGGTATATAATTTGATTTTTTTATTTTGATGGTTGCTTCCATTAATCAAAGATCACTGCCGATGTCAAATCTATAACACGGTATATAGTCAATTTTATTCTTAATTTAATAATAATCATAATTCGAGTGGTAATACTGGATGCACATATAGGTCATACAAACTTGGCAGCAATGTCGCTGCGAACTAGCCGCGTTACCTTGTCGCAAATACGTCGCCAGCCTAAGACTGGCTTAAATACAACGCAGTAAATAGTAGATGTGCTTGATACTTTTAAAATAAAAAACGATAAATAGACAGTTAATGACTTTTTGATTGCATGATTGTTTAATTTACTATTATTTTCTTGTTATATTCTGTTAAGCATGGGAATTGCACATCTTCAACTTAAGATATATAAATGACAGCGATAATTATAATGTTTTTATAAGTTAAAACGCTAGAATTTTTGATGATTTATTTTTTCAATATTGTTATGTATCTGTTAAGGTAAATGAACGATCAGGTGAAAGATGGTTCAATAAATATATTAAACATGCATTTTATAGTATTCGATTAAATAAATATTTCGAATGTTTTTAGTTTTTTTTTTAAGAATAATTCATCAAAAATGGAAAAATTACGTGCTTTATTTGTGCTGGTTAGCTATTAAGTAACCGAAACATGTTTTTACTAGAAGTATTCTTAATAAAATCAAATTTTTCTGCAAAAATCAGATACCAAAAGTAATTTATCATCATCGTTAATGCTATGTCTCTATGTTTATTACATTAATTAATTGAAGATCTTAAAAGATATTTATCATCATCGGTGGTGCTATTAGCCCAAGTTGAGCTTATATATTCGTCATATTACTCCATTCAGTCCTATCTCTTGCAGCTTAATGGTAGTTAGCAACATTGATTTTCCTGACATTCTCATCTACGCCATTCTTGATTTGGATAGATACATATCTATCCAGAGCTAACTTGCTTTGGATAGATACAGTGCTCATCGCAGGCGTCTTATTTTTACTGCAGTGAATATATCTTTGGCTTAAATTATTTCTGTGTAGGATTTTTTGGTTATATCGACGAGGCCAGGTTTCATATACTGGTGGTGATCACGAGGGTAAGTTGATCACCACCTTTTTTATACATTTCTGAACAGATTTCATCGATTCCTGGAGCTTTATCGTCTTTAAGTTTTAGGATGGCATTTGACACTTCTTCTCTTGTTGGGTCTTCACTGTGTAGTTGACGTTGTAGATTTTGTTGATTGTCTATGTTGTATCCTCCTTCGATATCGTTTATATTTACATGTTCACTGAAATCCACTCTCCTAAGACGTCTATACTCTTCTTTTTTTTTCTCCGTGTACAACCTGCTTCGATGGTATTTTGATACGCTGCGTTCTTTTTATTTGTGGCCATTTCGCGCTCATGATCAAACCAATGATTTCTTTTTTCTGACTTGGTTTTGCCCAATATTTTAACCGATTTCTTTAACACAAGAATTTTGTTGTAAACACTATAAATCCCTGAGAAACTAACTTAACTACATACATACTAAATCATTTTTTTTTTTCCAAAATTTTGTATTGAACATTTTATTTTTTAAGCTATTTTCTAAAGAGTATGGAATATTCATCGAGATATCGAGATTAGATAAATATTATGGAAGATTTAATGGAAATACGGTTTCACTGAATATATAATTACTCCCCACTTCAATCATTGATCTTGCTTTAAACTAAAGACTCATTTTTAATTTACCTCACTTGTTTTTTAACCTCTTCTTCGCCTTCTTCCTTTTTAGAAGCAGTTCTGCTTATTTATTGTCCGATACTTCTTCTGCCGATTGGTGACTTATTTATCTCTTAGTATTTTAACGACACGGGTCTCCCCTATTCTACTTATTGTATTTCTTTTTTTTTCTATTTAGTTACTTACTTATACTTATATAATCATACTTATTCCATTCGTTTATTGTATTTTGACATAATTAACTTAATGACTGAAATCTCACCAACCAGTTTCTTTGCTCAACGTTCTACTTTAATAATACATACATTAATACATTTTCAAAAAGCTAAACAGAATTCATTAGTTTTTGCTGTTATTCAAATTGCACACTTTAATTGCTTCTAGTAAAAATGATTTCGGCGAGAGGCAGGTGAGATAACTATATTACACAGTAATAAATAGTTGTCAAAATTAAGACCTTTAGTTTTAAGCTTAAAAATAGTTAAAATGAGCTCAACTTTGGGTAAAAGAATGGGCTTGAAGAAGTTTTAAGTCAAACACTAACCTAAATCAACTTTAAAATTATTTTGATTCATTTAAAACTCGAACAGCCCTGCCTATACTCACTACGATATTTACAGGTTGTGCTATAATCCAGAGAAATTCCTAAGAAGTTGAAATACATGTTGATTTGTGACAAATTAGTGTAAGGGTTAGCTAGGATATATGAGTTAAACATGCCAGTTTCTGAAACCAATGTAGTTTCTTAAAACAAGAATAGAAGAAAACTAAATAGGTAGATGTCAGTGGCAACAACAATTGGGTTGCCACATTTTTTATAGTGCAATAACGATAAATCCTTTAAATTGCCGTTTAAAAACATCACCTCTGTCACCAACAGTTGTAAACAAATGCTAAAACGATGAATTTCTAAATTCTTCGGATTCATTTTTAAGTTTTATTTAAAATGTCCTTAATGGTACACACATGCATAAACATAACCAGTTTTGAATAATGGCTTCTAACAGTTCTCTCTTGTTACTTGGGTTTCGGCGTGATACTAACACTTTCAACCTTGACCATAAATTTTCTATTGGATTTAGATCGGGACTATTTTCAGGCCAAATCAGGACAGTAATGTCATGATTTCTCAACCATTCCATGGAAGTCTTAACCGTATGGTAAGGCGCTCAATCCTGCTAGAAGATTCATTGTTGGAGTTTGGCTTGCAGTATCTCTTCCTGATATTTTTTTTTGTATTAATATTGCCCTCTACTACTGCTAAACGTCTAACTCATGTGATGCTTCATAGTGACCGTAGTACACTGAGGCTGTCGGCGGCAAACAAACTTCACTCCGTCACTCCCAAAGATCGAGATTCTAGTTTCATCACTCCAAATTACCTTACTCCACTGTTCTTCTGTCCACTCTCTGTGTGCCAAATCCCAATCAATGCGTTTTCATTCAGGATTGACTTCTTTCTAGGAGTTCCTGTTGCTCGCAATCCATTTTCACACAACTTTCTTCTGATAGTGTGATCTGATATTTGTAATTCAGTTGATTTGACTAGCAATAATTTCTTTTTTCATGAAAGTTAAATTAATATTTTTTGCACTAGAAACTGTCAACAGAACTATAACTTACGTTTTTTATTGTCAAATTCTTGTCAGTTCGTGAAGTTTCTCTTTTAGTTTTTGTTTTGTGGCATTCAAACACAACAATTTCAATTTAACAAAAATCATTTTTACTAATGAGGAATATGCTGATATACATTTAATTTATTGGTAATATTTCGGACTAGGTGAATTGGGTTAAATCGTCTTAAAATATCTGAGGAATCTCTATCTTAAAATATCTGAAAAATCTTCGGTTTTCGTTTCTCAGGAGAGTTTCTGGACACCCTGTATACACTCAACCTAGGGGTCTATAAAAAAAGAAAATTTTTCGAAAAGCCTAAAAAAAATAACGAAAAATTTAATTTTTTTGTGGAAGGGGGAGGAGGAGGGGTAGCGTACTAAAATTGCGCTGAGCCTTATTTTTAATCATATAGAACGTAAAAAAAGTGAAAAAAATTGAATTCTAGGAGTAAAGGCATTTTGCCTATCTTAATGGGGGGTATCATTTGTCTCCTTTAGACATTCAGATAGGGGTTCAGATATCGTACGACAATCTATCTAAGTGTGTACAAGCCTTTACGTTTCATAGGATAATATTTAGACTATTTTGTCCTTTACTCACCTGCCTCACAGTATTTGTTTTGCTGCTTATAATTAAACTTATCATAAGCATCGATAGTAACGATTATTTTTTGCAGGGTTCAGAGAGTGAAAATGAGAGCGTTCGATCCGACCCCCACTCGTTCGTCAATCACTACGCCAACGTCAACGACACCTTACGACAATCGTGGAAACGTCAGAAACCCGTTCGGAACTATTCGAGTTACACCGATTCGGAACCCGAAGGCAGTGCCGTCGTCAGTCTCAACGGGGGGCAAATCATTATGAACAACATGGCGAGATCGAGGGCGCCTCTACCGGGTTTCTCGTCGTTTGTATAATATAAGGAATTTATTAAGAGTAAAAGCGTGTGTCATAATAAAGCGGTAGATGAAAATTTGATGATATTTTTGTGTAATTTGGAAACGACGACACGTTTGTAGGATTTTGACGAAATAGGAATGTTTTGTCGATTCTATTTGAGATAGAATCAAAACGTTTACATAGTCCTAATAGTATTCTTTATTTTTATGAAATTAATTTGATATCTAAACATTTTGTTGTTAAAAAAAAGTTTTTGGTTGATTTAAAAAATTTTCATTCATTAGTAATGCTCTTACTATGCTTTGTTACCTATGGTAGGTATATACAGATATGTATATTTTTCTTTTCTAATATAAGACGAATCAAAAGTAGTTTTAAATAACGACAGACTGATTCTGTAGTTCAAATTATACAAATGTGTCGTGGTAAGTCTGTACGATTTGATACATTTTGACAACTCTACTTATAGAAATATGAAAATTAGCATTGGTTTGATTTAAAATATTTTTTAGGTTATGTCTAGGTCTGTATGTCAAGTGTCAATTATTTTCGCATCGCTCCGGCCGGTTATAGTTTCATACCAATTGTGACGATTCTACAATGTAACTTCTGCGATGGGGCTTTACTACAATATTTTGCAATGGGAAATTTCATTTTAATGAAATCATCATTGATTAATCTGTATGGAGAAGCCTATATCATCATTCTTTCCACAATATCGCTACTCTTTTGTCAGAGATGTACAATGATGCCTTCAATCTCCTCATTATGTGTGTAAACTATTATTCTTTCATATATTTTTAATTTTGCCATCATTTTTACATTTCTAGAACGTTTTTCTGTAATGATATGGTAGACAGTAGAGTTTCTTGAGTGTTTTTTGGTTGTTCTGGGTATTGATTACTGGAGCTTCAGCTGATGCTTTTCATGTTGGATGGAGGTAGTTTCTTTTGAATAAATTACTTTTTCTAAATAAATAATTTTCTAATAAATTTCTTTGAATAAAGTTTTTTTTAAATAGCGTTCATAGCTGTTATATTGTGTTAAAAAGAAGATGGTATATTCCTAAATAGACGTAGATGCATATTCTTATATGCATGGATGTCATTTTGTACAAATAGTATAGACAAACAATATCTTTAGTATCTTCTTACAATGTGATCTACTTATTTAGTTTTTTTAGGTTTTAAATATGCGGTACTAGTGTATATAGGTATGAGTGAAAAGATAACACCGTTGAGTAGAATAAGTTTAACAAACGCGATTGCTAAAATTTGCTTGGGTTTTTATTTATTTATATCTCTTTTATATTATACATCTTTAGACATATTTACAACTGACTTATTTTCTTGTATATCATCGTGGCGTATATCTTCACAAAACCTTAATTACTTCAATGTAAATTCGACCAAATACTCCTATAATTATTTTATATTTACACAATCAAATAAACTTTGAAACAGTACTTTATACAGATTTTACACGGTAAAAAAATATGTAGGTTTATTATACATTGGTTAAATACTTTTTAACTATTTCGTCTGTACTTTCAATTATTTCATTCTACTCGCTCAGAATATTAGTTCTTGGTTAAATTTTCTGATCCAAACCATTTATTTTCAAACTCTGTAGTCATGGTTTATGCATAAATTGAATATTCTATTGGAGTTAGTTAGCCACACAATTACTTAGGCTTTTCCCTCTTTTCACTGGGTTCTTCAATTTCGTATATGACTATTGATACATTATATTAATTTATGTTATTATTTTAGTCAGTTGCAGTTTTTTAGTCATATTTATAATGTGTTTATGCTAATTTTTCAGTTATTAATGCGTTTTCGAATGGATTTTGTGTGAGAAATTAAAATAGGTCTTCCAACTTTAATATTTGAGAAAATGATCCACGCTACAGTGAATATATATGTGCTACTTGCAGTTTCATAGTCCTCCATTAGTTTTTTTTGAAGATTGAATACATTAGTAAGGTAGTACTCTTATCATATCACAACAAAACTCCATGTACATGAACAATCAGGGAGCTAACCTCTTAGATGTTTAGACTACACTGATGCTGCATGCTTCTGACAATTTCCTCTATAAAGAACTAATAGATCTAATACGTATTTCAACAATGTAATTGTTGATACTCAGTTAATTCGATTACATTTGTGAGATTAGCTTGTATGCAGTCCTTTGTATAAATAACTGATCCATCTGATACTTATCCTTTCAACAAAGTAGTACTACTATTATCCCAAATCACTAATGCAGAAATGTCAATCATTTAAATAACTGTTAATCTAGTTGCACTATATTTGTACTATTAGCATTGTCCAATGCTAGTTCTTTTACAGAGAACTGATAGATATCAAGTACTACTTTTATATATAAATTCAGAATCATGATCCATTTCGGAGTCTTATAACTGAGATACTTAACCTGATTGTTTGCTTCTACATATTCCTCTGTATAAAGAACTGACGTATACAACATTTATATCATCAGGTCGGTACGACTTTTAGAATTTCATATCAACAAGTCCAATATACGCTCTACTTTGAATGGGGTAGTACTATTATTTCACATTAGTAATCTAGAGACATAATCCATTAAATTAATTAATAACTAAGCTATTTAGACTGTATTTGTAATACTAGTATCTCTATGTACTACTATTATCTCTAAGAACAGGTTGTTTTTACAGAAAACTGTGAGATTTATTATTTATATCAAAGGTCAAGTATAGCTATAACATCTTGTATAGACAGACTTAATACCTATTTCTTTAGTGCGGTGCTAGTTTTAGCATCTAGTACAGCAATCCAGTGGTACGATCCGTGATCCTTGTACAGATGAATTTAGACTGAATTTGTGATGGTACCATCTATACAGTTTTCTTTATAGAGAACTGACCAACGCAGTAATTATTTCTTTAGTCCGGTACTACTTTCAGCGTCTCATCCAACAAACAAGAGGTATGATCCTTGTAGAAACGCTACCATAGAGCTACTTAGACTGAATTTGTGCTGGTAACATCTACTATACAGTTCTATCAAGGAACTGACAGATAGCGTACTTATTTTTTTTTCAGTTCAGTACTTGTTTTCAGAGCAATCCAAAGACACGTAGGGATGGAATCACAGAGAATTTACTTTTAGCACATCAAGTACTTACTTTTAGCAATCGAGACGTGATCAATGTAAGAAAGGAACCATAGAGCTGTTTATATTGAAAGCTGTTCATGCTGTTAGCATATTTATAGTTCTCTCCATAGAGAACTAACAGATATAGTGATCATTTCTATGCTCTGGTACTACTTATTTTATTACCAGTACTACTAAAAAACTAGGTGGTTTAGAATGAATATATGCTGGTACCACCTACATAGTTCTGTCAAAGAACATAACAGCTACGGTACTTATTTTTTCAATTGGGTACTAGTTTTAGCATGTAATAGAGCAATTCAAAGGTATGGAGGGAAGGAACCACAGTGTCATTTGGCCTCTATTTGAAATGATAGCATCAGTACGACTCTCTCGACAATAAACAGATACAGTGCTGATTTCTTTATTCAAGTACTAGTTTTAGCAATTGAAATATGATCAATGTAAGCAAGGAACCATACACATGTTTATATTTTTATAGTTCTCCCTATAAAGAACTAAAAAATATAGCGATTATTTGTACAGCCAGGTACTACTTTTTACTACCGGTACTACAAAAAAACTCGGCTATTTAGACTGAGTTTGTGCTGATAGCACCTACACATTTCTACAACTGATTTTTATAGCACTAATTTTTTCTGTTAAGTACTCCTTTTAGCTAGAAGTTAATCAGTAACATGTGCAATACTTTTGTATTCCGTCTGGTACTACTTTTAGAATCTTAAATCAATCAGCAACGATTCATTTTGCAACTCAAAACTGGATAATTTAGACTGCATTTGTGCTGCTAGCATTTACACAGTTCGCATTATACAAAGAAGGGACAGATGCAAAACTTATTTCTTCTGATATGTAGTACTTGTGATATCATAGGGATATTCTTCTTCTTTGGGTGCCGTCTTCAATGAAGGTAGGCGATAACATTAACAAAATCATTTCTGTCCCTGGCTTTTCTTATTAAAGATTGAGAATCCAAACCAGTCCACTCACGAATGTTCTTCAACCAGGACGCCTGCCGTCTACCAGGACCACGTTTTCCTTCTACCTTCCCCTCTATAAGAAGCTGCAGTAGCTGGTATTTCTCATTTCTGTATATGTGTCCCAAATATGAGGTTTTCCGTGTTTTCATTATTTTTAAGAGTTCTCTGTCGGTACCCATCTTGTGTAGGACCTGCTCGTTGCTCATATGCGCTGTCCAGGGGACTTTCAGCATCCTTCGAAATAACCACATTTCAAAACTTTCCAAACGCCTTAGTGAGTTGATTTTGAAGGTCCAGGCCTCCATTCCATATAATAAGGTGCTGTAAACGTAACATTTCAGCATTCGGTATCGGATTTTGAGATTGAGTGTTTGGGACGTAAACATTTGTTTCATTTTTAAAAAGACATTTCTTGCTTGTTCAATTCGCGATTTTATTTCTATGTCTGGATCTATATCTTTCGTTATCCAGCACCCTAGATATCGAAATTTCTCGACATTTTCGATAATGTTACCATTCACGTTTAAAGCCATGGGTGGATGGATGGATGTTTTGGAGACAATCATTGTTTTTGTTTTCTTGACGTTAATGCTGAGGCCGTATTGTTCTCCAGTCGATCTGACGCGATCTAAGAGTGTCTGGAGATCCTGTGCGCTCTCTGCAATTAGGACCGTGTCGTCGGCGTATCGTATAGGGATATTACCGTGAGATAATCAACTTAGGGACTAAAATTTGCTATTTCTCTCTACAAAAAACTGACAGGGTACAATACTTTTGTCTTCAGTCTGGTACTACTTTTTCCATGTCATATCAGCAGTCTCTAGGCACGATTTCCTCTGACAATAAAAATTCAATTTCTTAGACTGCATTTGTGCTGCTAGTATCTACACAGTTCTTATTATATAAAGAAGGGTCAGATGCAAAACTTATTTCTTCTGATATGTAGTACTTGTGATATCATAGGGACATTTCAGTGAGACAATCCACTTGGGGACTAAAAACTCTGCTATTTCTCTCTCTAAAAAACTGACAGGTACAATACTTTTGTCTTCAGTATGGTACTACTTTTTCCATCTCATATCAGCACGATTCCCCTTGGCTCTAAAAACTCAGTTTTTAGACTGCATTTCTGCTATACAAAGAACTGACAGATGCAGTACTAGTATTTCTCTCTACAAACAACTGACATTTACAATACTTTTGTTTTTAGTCAGGTACTTAGCATCTCATATTTATAGTTCGGAGACATGATCTATTTTGGAACTAAAAATTCAGCTGTTTAGACTACATTTGACCTATTATCATATACACAGACGTGTCTGCT